GGGGTTCATGGAGCTGCTACACCGCCGCCGTCAGGGTTGCCGGAAAACGGGAATGGATCGGGGAGATGAAGAAGAACCAACAGGGGGAAAACGGCTAGGGTTGAAGGGAAAGAAGAAGAAAGAAAAGGAGCTTGGGGCTAGGGTTTTCTTTTCCTTTTGTTTTGTTTTAAAACTCATTTACCCCAATAGAGGCCCAACGCGTTCAGGCCCAAGAGGAAAGAAGTCCATCCCCCTTAAAACAAGACTCACCACACCGAGTCGGTAATTATTAATTTAAGTGAGAGTTTAGAGCCCGATAATAAAGATAACTTTAGTTAACGATCCATAAATTTAATTAACAATCAATTTAAAATTACTGAAAAAATCTCCCGATTCGGGACTAACTAACCTGAGGGACTCGGGGCGTTACAACAACGTTCCGATGACGATTGTCATCAAAGGAGGAAGGTGAATTGAGAACTAGTCTTACCTGAGGAAATTCTAGGTTAGACAAGCCGAAGAGTTTCAGAATAGGGAGAACAACATGCCGAGAACAAAGTGCAGTAATGGGACAGATTAGCCACGTTGGAAGAGAAAGTCGAAGGGATGCACCGGATTATAACTTTCCTTTTGAGCAAGCTAGAGCAACAAGATTTGAGACAACCTTCACTAATCTGAGATCCTCAATAAAGCAAAGCCCGGAAATCGAGGATGTTGTGGAGTCGACAAATAACCTACCAAGCCAAAGCAAATTAATCAACTAGGTCTGATGACTATGCAGCCACATAAGTCCATGGCGCACAACAGGAGCAAGAACAACAAGGGTAGCAGATAAGATCTCAAACAAACCCTCACTCACAAAAAAATTCAGCCTAGCAGGCACGAATAGGCTGAAAAGCCACAAAACATAGTGAAAAACAAAAAGACAAACGGTGCGACCTAGAGGAGATGCTGGATCAGGAAGACTCACCATTCATGGAAAAAATTATGAAGGAGAAAGTTCCACCAAAATTTAAACTCCCAACCATCAAACAGTATGACGGCTCAGGAGATCCAATCAATCAGCTCGATGCGGACAGGGAACGATGGATATTTATGGAGTGACAAAAGCCATTAGATGCTAAGTTTTCTCTTTCACATTTACTGGTTCAACTCGCATCTGATTTCGACAACTAGAAAGCAAGTCAATTTTGTCATTCAAAGAACTAGCAAGAGCATTTGTCACACGGTTTGTCGGAAGGCTGAATACAAGTCAACCCGTGGCATATATTATTACTATGGAGTAAAAGTCGACAGAGAACCTCAAAGAATATATAGCTAGATTCAATAAGGAAAAATTACTGGTCGAGGGTCTTACTAACTGAGTATCAGTTCTCGCCTTCATGTCCGGTATAAAAGATGAGAATGTGTTATTATCTTTTTGGAAAAAGACCTCAGATTCCTTCGTAGGGAACTACTACTCCACTCAAAGTAAGATTAAGATCCGAGCTTAAGCTGATGGGTTGGGTAAATTTAATTCATATATTAGATATTTAATATGAGAAAAACAATCTGGATCAAAATGGGGAAAAACCAATCTTATGCTAGATCAGTCGATCAAGTCATCAGGATCCCCAAAAGGGGTTTGAACAATATACCCCATCAACGATTCCACTTGAACACGTCGGGATGGAAATAAGTGACAAAAAGCTATTTAAATGGCTTGAGAAGATGAATGCGCCATCTCTTAAAAGAACTAAATGTAGATGTTGCTCTTCCGGACAGGTCATCTCAAATAATTTGT